CTTGTTGATGCTTTTGCAACATTGCACAGCTCCTGACGACGCACTGAGAAGTGTGAAAGTACTCGAGCTAAAGATTTCCAACCCCTGTGGCTTTCTTCATATATATATATATATATATATATATATATATATATATATATATATATATATATATATATATATATATATATATATATATATATATATATGAAGAACCTAGAAAGAGAATTTCTCTTCATAATACATGATATTAAGACAGTATATATACATAGAGTGAAATATCTCTCAGTGTGACCTGATAAGTTAGCTGATAAACCACGTTGCGGTTAATAAAACTTAATATAATTTTCATTCTCACAAATATACTCCATTCGCTCAAATATTAATACAGGTCTGAAATGCACACTAACCTTTTTTACATACTCATATTTAGACATGCACATTTGTTATGTACACGGATTTATAACTATAAATCTGAATTTTTTTTAGAGATATACAGTTTGATTCTTATGCACTTAAGCATATTTGTTCATACGCACCCATATTATACATACGAAATTAGACGAGAAAACCTCGTGAAAAGAAAGCCTACACACCAGATTTTTATTTCCTATCACAAAATAAAATACTTAACCAGGAGCAATCAGGCGACACCATGGAGATACATGAAAGTACACGGAAACACAAGTAGCAGAGGTTCGGAAAGTCCATCATTGTTGCCTGTTGAGAAGAACTATCTACAACTTAGATTAAGGACTATCGTGTGTTGTCTAGGTGTGTGAATTACAGAAAAGAAGAAGGCTCTCTCAACGAAGCTGGCGACTCCGGCTTCGTTGGGACTAAGCAGATGATGTTATGCAGACGGGGGACTAACCTAGCAACGCCTTGGATATGGGGTACTAAGCCAGCAACACCAAGACACAAGGAATATAAAAAATAAAGCTATACGTCAAAGGGCAAATATTGGTGATGACTGCCCTTCAAGGGGAAGGAGCCTTGATGCTGACAAAGAGGATTTTGATGAAAAAATTGAAGCTATTATCCCTTCTTTGGATCAACCTTGATTACTTCTTATTCCTCCAGACGCTGTGTGATACTAATGGGTTTACCCCTTCCTCATGAATATAATGATGATGGAGCTCATTACAAGACTCATTATTTACAGAGTGCAGGATACGTCTCATAAGGCTTTGTTGTGTCCGTCAACGGTATTTTGCGTGGTAAACGATGGTGTAAATCGACAAATGGAGAAAAGCACATTACATTATTTGGAAACGTTTTGCCCCGTCCTGGATTAAACATTGTAGCAATAAGAAAGATTTTTCCACGAAATAGTGTCTTTCTCCAGTGTTATGCGTGCCTTACGTATCTTGTCGGATTTCCTCTACTTTCCACTAATTAGACAAAGATATGTCACGGCTTAACACAGCCAGACTCGTTAGGAAATGGAACAGAGCTTCGGGGCAGGTAAAGACCAATTAATATTGCAAGCCTGGATATGCTGGCTGCTGATTGGACGACTGGAGTGTTCACCTGGAAAACAAAGGTTTCAGAACGATTTCTTAAACACTGCGGAATAAAATCATTCCAGGGAAGAGAGGGGGAGGGGATGATTTAATGCGAGAGAAGGGCTCTTATCCCGTTTTTTTACGCATATTCGTTCATGCATATATTCTCCCGTCTGTCGATCATCGTCCTTCCGTCTATCTATGAGCCAGCTTGTCTATCTTCTCGCTGACGTTCACCCAATTATTTCAAGGCGACGTTGTACGACTCTAAGTGTTTTTCGCTTCCACATGCTGGGGAATATTTTTCGTACTTATGTTTTTGTCACAAATGATCAGTAAATAAACAAATAAATAATTCATATTAAGCGCAAGGCATAACAGAGGCTCGATCTCCTCCGTCTCCTGAGCGCGAAACGCAACGAGCTTTCTGTTTGTACTCACCTATATACAGATGATCAATATGATCGATTCTTTCTCGGCATCTTAGCTGTAGATTCTAGGCGTCTCAACTCATTATTTTCAAATTGTGTAGTCGTGGCGGAGAGGCAAAAGGTAAAGCAAGTCTTTAGTTTATCGACATTTCATTCAGTACTGAGCTTCATGAAGATTTGCTCTATACGCTTCATCACGTAGGGACCAGGTACAGGTAGGTTTGCCCTGGTCTTTTCCATGTGGTGACCCGGCCTTGTAGGGACTATTTCCCAGCTATCTGCACTGTACAGAAAGTATTTTTAAGCTCAAAGAAAGAAATGATGATCTAGGCTCAGCACTGTAAAGGTGAATATCTTAGGCTCAGACTGGAAATAACGGATGTAATCGCAGAGTGTAAATGTTCTTAGGCTCATTGTTCCATAGAAAAGGTAACGATTTTTTGTATGGATCGTCCCAAACATGTAAGGCGAAGATTAGATTTTTTAATGCTCTGTTTAAATTAAAGATTCAGAGGAGATGGAACCAGAAAACACAAGAGAAAATGGAACTTGGGAACAAAATAGGAACTGAAACCTGGAAGTATAAAAAGAGCTGGAATCAAAAAAGGAGCT